AGTAAAAACAAAGAGATCATTAATTATATTATTATATTTGAAATATATATAGGCTACTGAATGATGATGGTTTAATCATTTTATATTAGTTTTTATCTATATAGTATCTATATAGTCATGGGCCCTTGAAAGTTTTCCCCCCTAAGAGTGCCCCTGCCCGTCACTATCCAATAAAGGCAATACAAAGCCCCCAAAAAAGCGAGATTACAGGAAGGCGGTAAAATAAAACAACAGCAGCAAAATACAACAGGCAAGAGAGAGTTCTGAGCAGGCGACTGTCTGGGCCTGAGTGCGATAAGGCTGCAGGGTAGATCAAACTGTCTCCTTCCCTATCTGCACAGTCTCTCTCTCCCCCCCCACACACACACACACACACAACCTCCCCCACCACCACCCTCTCTCACTCTGTTTCCCATGGCAACCGCAGACAGATACGGTGCTTCCCGCAAGCCCTGCACCCCCCGCAAACCTCCGGGTGTACGTGTGTGTGCAGGGTGGGAATTAGTAACTGTATGCAATTATTTGGGTGTGTGTGTGTGTGTTTATGCGTGTATCTGCAGTGCGCCCACTGTGTTTTACCATCAGCATTAGCTGGGTAAAATAATGACTCATACAGGGTCAAGCTCCTTGATGTCAATTTAACCTTAACGACAACTCTGAGCAGTTCTCACCGCTGGCTGCTATTTGCTGCTAATGTGGCCGTGCTCCTGTGTGGAGACAGAGAGGCCCTTTTTACTGCTGCTGTAACTACTTTTGAAGGCTACTGTTGTTTAGTAGCGCTGCAGTCGTCAACCATGTCGACACAGCTAGCAACAACTAAATTAGTTTATTGACAAAAAACAGAGGTATTTATCAAGCAAAAACTCTTCACATGTAGGAAAAAATTTACCGTTAAAATGTCCTAGAGCCCAACGAAATCTATTTCAAGAGCTTGTTTCATTCGACCACCAGTCAGAAATGTTTTTCTTTACTGTGATATATGACGAAGAAAAGAGGAGCTGGAATCAAAAAAAAGTTGGCATTTTTGCTTGAAAAAGAACTAAATTCATTGTCAAAATACTTGCAGATTGACTTATGGAGTAATTGTTGCCACTTTAGTTTAATTGAATGAATGAATGCTTTGTTTCTGATGAAACATTTGGCTGTTCTGACGAGCAGCTGGCACCTTGCATGGCAGATTGTAGTGTGAAGTGCTTTGAGTGGTTAGAAGACTAGAAAGGGCGCTATAAAAGTGCAGTCTATTTACCATTTCACTTCATCTCTTTCTCACCTCTGTGACAGGTAAAAGGCGAGACCCCGAAGACGCCAAGAACTACATTTGCAAGTTGTACGAGCAGCAGGCCATCAACCGCGACAAAAGAGAGGAACGGAAAACTCTCTACCCGCACTTCACCTGCGCCACAGACACCAACAACATCCGCAGGGTCTTCAGCGATGTCAAGGACACGGTGCTGCTCAAGTCTCTCAGGGACTATGGGGTCATCTGAACTATTACTCTGATGGAAAAACTGGAGGAAAACTGTGGTTCTTCTTTCTATCTGGACTCGTATGAGTGAAGGACCTAGTAAAGGCCAAAACGTCATTTATTTTTCCACATTGAAAGAAATGTAGGATTATTTCTAAAAAAAAAACCAATAAGACCATCGCCCATCCTTTGTGCTTCTGAGCAGGTGGAGAAAGAAAGGACGAGTTTGTACTCTTCTCTCACCTTCACCACCAACACTACTCCTCTTCCTGTCAAGGTAAAAGCCTGAAGACATTCAGGTATATTGGGGCTCATCAGACTTCTGATCAGGGAGCGAGAACTAGTAATCATCCTCATTTCTCTCAGCTAGCAGCTTTATCCCCATTTTTATTTTTATTTTTATTTTTTATTTTTTTTAAAAGAAGAAGTGTTTGGGTCATGCAGTGACTGAATTCATCCATAATTGAAGCAGGTGCAGAGTGCGGTGCTGCCATGAACAGAGTAATGACTTTTACAAGTGGAGATGGGTTCATGCTTGGGTACACCACCGGGTCACACACATGCTTTATTTGAATCCACAAGGTACATTCAGACGTAGTAGATACAAACACACTGTAAACAGTTTCCATTGTGTACCATAAATGGCAATACATGAGTTAAAATCTGCTGCACCTTTTTACTTAAAGATACTTCTTGGGTTTTCCATGCCTCCACTTGACAGGACAGATGAAGACAGACAGGAAAAGGTTCAGGCTCACATGGGGCGCCCACTCCACCAAGCGAGCCACCACATTGCAACCTTTTATTATTGGACATCCTGAACCAGGGGATTTATTCTCTGTTCTTAATGTCACCACAGCTTTTGATTGTTTCACAAACACTATGCTCCTGTCAGACTGCCAAAATCCTTATTGATTACAGTTATCTCACACTGGCAATATTTCTTACATATTATCTTATTCAGCACATCTGTTCAGCACTGTCTCTATCAATTGTCTCGTGCCATAACAGTAGTAACATTTTCACTGTGCTCCACAACCAGCACAAGCAGTGAATGAAAGAAAACAAAGACAATGGATGTGAAGTTCACATAGTTTGAAGGAGCAATGTGTAGGATTTAGTGACATCTATTGGTGGAGTTTCAGATTGCAACTAACTGAATGCTGCTGGTGTCTGTATTTGACCTGGGAATGAGAACGGGCGGTGAACTGTAGTAAACAGTACGGTAGATGGGAAACTCATGAAAAACAGCAATAGGTCCTAACTATGGCCAGTGTTTGGTTTGTTCGTTATTAGCTACTGTAGAAACGTGGCAGACTCCATCTCTCAGCGTCTGTAAATAAAACGTCTCATTCTAAGGTAACTACAACACAACAATGCCTATATTCAGGTGATTATACTCTAATGAAAACACATCTATGAATATTATATTAACTTCTATCAATACATCCTAAGACTGGACGTCCAGACTGGACCTTTTAAAAATATAGAAACCAAATGCTTCTAAGAATTGATATTTCTAGCTTCTGTTCAAGAGCTTTGAATAGGTCAAAGCACTTTTTTTTTAAAATTAAAATCCTCCACTAATGAATTTGCATTTCTTATTCAAACACCAATTAAAGTGCACCGTGAAGCACTGGGTAATGAGGCAGGTATGATGTTTTTAGTAGGTTGGTGATTAACGAATCTACCTGTTGTTGACACGCATTTATTGTGCAAGAGACTGAATCCTGACCTACTCCACTCCACTGGTGCTTTTATGTTTTACAAGTTTTGGGAAAACTTTTGATGGATGTGCAGTAAAAAGTCCTGACCATCAGATCCGTTAACATTCTCCAAGATGTTCATTACTGGTGCCTTACTGTTAGGAGGGGAGAGATAAGCACATGAAGAAGGAGATTTGGATGGTTTAAAGGTCCAAAACACTGGGGAATACTGGGGAAGGGACAGCCCATTGTTATGAATTTCTGCAACTTTACTGCTCTCGTAGTGTCTTTCAGGTCAGCCGTTTACAGCGAAAACGTTCTAATAAAACCTGCTCAGCATAAAACAGCAGACCGATATAGTCTGCAACAAGCCGGTGAACACGGTGGAGCATTTAGCAGCTCAAGAGCCAGATATGTCCCTCAGGAGCTGGTGGAGACTTAAAACAGAGCTAAAAGGAGAATAAATATTGGACAGGTCGCCAGAATCACAACTACTGTTGCTCCATAACTGCTGGATGTGTAAACTAACAGTTCACCATATCAAATTAAAAGGTCACTCTTGTGTCTAGAGCTTGTTTCCACTGCCCCAAAGTGCCTAAAACGAAGGCTTAAATTAAGTATTTAAAAGTCTATTTTTCAGTGTAGTTTGTGAAATGTGCCTGTTTTATACTTTTTTAAAATTAAGTGTTCATACAGCAGCTTTCTAACAGTGCGACTTTGAAGTTTTCAGCTACTTTTAAAAGTCCAAAGACGTGTGGTTTAAAAGACTGTGCATCACGATCCTCCATTCAATTTGCCTGTCAGCTCAACGCAATTAATACTCTTCATTAAAATTAATACCAGAAATTTGAGCACAAATCACAGCTGGGGGGGCTGACAAGTTTTTAAAGGTCACGAGTGACGGAACTGAGATTTGTTGGTCCTGCAAGAAAACAGCTCGATCCACACCGACGAGTTGAAATCAACAACGGGTGAAATCCAACAGGCCGATGAGCTGAGTAAAGGGTAAAGAATATTAATATGAGGTGGCAGTGTGAAGTCTCTGTGCGTCCTATTTATATCAGTGTGTGGAGAGGGGAACTTTATGATATTGATTAGAAGCGTGAGTTCTTCCCCACCGTGTGCGTCATTGAGTGTTTGTTGAGTGGAAAATGACATTGAAATTCATTAAATGCGTCTGTTGTGTGGTTTCGGCTGCTGTTTTGTTAATAGTACATAAAGTGTTTTTGATCTCCACTGCTGCATTGTTAAATCTTTTTGATGCCTTCAAACACAAATGTATACTTTTACTGTACATTCACTGATTACTACTATACCTTTTGATTGATTTATAACTGATGTATTATATTATTGTTTACTAACAGCACATAAACTGTGACTAGAAAGGGTATTTGCTAGTGAACTACTTTTTCGTGCATTGGGAGACCGCCTCTCATACGGTGACAGTGAATTATTCTGTGTAGACTCGGGTGGAGGACATGGGCAAATATTTTTTTTCTAGTTAATATTAAAAACAAACTTATGAACACACCCCCTCTCCTTGCTTGTGTTTGTTTTCCCTGGCAGATCTGGCCAGAAAGACTCTCCTAGTCTTTCCGTCTGACGTGTTTTCTCTTCACTACACTGAGGCTCTGTCACCAAGACAAATATGGTCTCACAGGCTGTGACTCGCAGTCTGCAGATAAAACACTGCAGGATTTGCACAGGATTGACACGAGGTTATTTTACACCGCACTCAGTTCCATAAACTAGTTTTTGTGTGTTCTTGAGAATGTAAAATATGTAAAACTATTTGTTTACACAGTCAGCTGATAGTTTAAGTTTAAGCTGTCTTATTTCCTCCATGCTACTGGCAGATGAAAAGTAGTTCCTCATTGGTGACAAATCATTTTTTTTAAAGCTGGAATCTGCATACACCACATGACACACGTTACATAACGATGTTATACAGACAGGCCGACACGCGTCCTGAGTAAATTCACTGTAATACACACAAATGAACATGCACCTACACACACACATTCACTGTGGCTGGTAGTGGCTGTCAGAGCCCCGCACCATGGGAGTGTGAGAGTGCGATGCTATGGCCCTGGTGACTGTCAGTCTCATCCAGATAACTTGGCATTCTCAAGTGTGTGTGTGTGTGTGTGTGTGTGCGGTGAATGTGTGTGTGTGTGTGTGTAAGAGACAGAGAGATAGTGGTAAGGTTGTGTCTGTACATGTTCTTGTGCATCTGTGCGTACAAGAATGTATCTGTCAGTATGTCTGCAGCTGTGTGTACATCTGTGCTGGTTTGTGTGCATGTTTCAGAGACTGTGTGTGTGTGTGTGTGTGTGTGAGCACCTCCCAGGCAGTGACGGGGCCACGGCAGTCTCTTCTGTCTCAGTCTTACAGCTCTGTCTGCAGTGAAGGTGCCTTGTTACTGCGGCCTCATCGCTCCACTTCCACCTTCAGCCAGCGTCACTGCAGTCAATTAACCATGACAACACATTAAAAAAACATTAAAACGAAAGACCACTATTTACGTCTGACATCTGAAAATAAAGTAGGAAGAGACACTGAAAACACAGTTAAAATGAAATGACTGAAGAGAATACCCATCGTCCATCCTGCAGAGGTCACTAATGCTGCATTCACACAATGTTGGCAGAAAACAGGAAAAGCTCCAGTTATTCTGACTTCGTCGGCACACCAGATAAATATGCTTAAATGGGTTCTTTTGTTTTTCTATTAACAGTTATTCAACAATTTAGTAAACAAGGTGTGTTTTTTTTTTAAATTTGTGAACAGGTTAAGGTAACTTAAAAAATGAGGCCTTCTCTGACTTTCTTAGTTGCCTGTGGACTGCTGACAATGTGATGTTTAAGCGCCTTCTCTCTCCGCTGCACTACAGTGTGTAGCACTAGCCAACATTAGCTTAAAATTGTCCACTAACTTCAACGAACAACCGACACCCACCACAACACATGGTCAGAGTCGAACACCAAGTGCAAAGTCAAAGCTGAAATTGCTCCAAAGCATGAGAAATATATTTAGTTTTAGCTGGCTAAGTTAGCTTACTTGCTAATGTGGATGAATCGCTAGTTAGCTAACGTAGCAAAAATACTGCCTTTAGTGGATAATGCCAGCTATTTCATCCAGACTCCTGGGGCTGATGGCTAGCTTTACAAATGACTGCACCAGCTAATGTGATCCATGATACAAATGTATTGGGGTCAATTTTAGCCAACAATAAATGATGTAATGGCACAAAGCAAAGGTGTATAACTATTGCTACACAACAGGGTGTTCAAGGCACCACCATTTCCATTTAAATAAATGTTTCTCCTGACGTTCATTCTCTTTATTAAACAGCTATAAACACGCAGTCAGCTGTCTAAAAACACTAATTCCCGTACCAGGTTTTGTGGAAAGTATCCATCACCTCATTAAAAGCCAGAGCTCTAGATGCTAATAGCTATATTGGTATACTGAGCACTTTCTACACATTACTTTAGTGATTCTTGCAGTTTAAGGGACAATCAGACCTCCCTGCTCTTGATCACTTTGTTTTTCTCCCCCGTGCGACACATCCGTCTCACATGATGTCGCTCAGTCTGCAGAATTGAGAAGAACTCTGCAGCAAATGTGAAGTGAGCACAAGAAAGTAGGGGCTTAAAGTGAGGTTTGTTTTGGTCTCTTTTTGTTGTGTGCAGTCTGTTACTTTTTTTGAAAAAAGAAAAGAATAGCTAGTTTCTGCTTAGAAGAAGCCACCGTGACTTGAATCCTCAGCCTAAGCTCACAGAATGGGCACCAGTTTGGGACGGACCCAATTTTGCAAGGCTGACATTTAGAATGATTGATTCCTCCGTGACTGTGTGTGTGCGAGTCTCCCAAAAATTGGCTGTGCTGGAGAAGATGAGGGGATTTGACAACAGGTGGGAAGCTGGGCCTTAGTGGCCTTTACTGATAATGAGGGATTTGTTTATGTAAATCTCAAACGATATACCCACATACGACTACTCCGTCAGATTCCGCCGCCGCCTGGGTGATGAGCGAGGGGTGAAAAGTCCAGCGGCTTGTGTGATCTTCTGTGCAGAAGCAGAGCTGAGATGTGTAGCGCAGGTTAGCCGGTGGGCTTTTTAAAACCTATTTTGCTGCCTGGTTTGTTGCTATGGACTGTCTGTTGCTGATAAGAGCCGGTCAAAGCTTTTTCATTTCCACCAATGTTCCTCAAAGCAGATACACACCTGCTGTGCACTTATCAAACATATGCTCTACATATAATGTACGGATACACACACAGATTCTACCGCAGCTGCAATCACAACAATAACCTGTCAAGATTAGTGTTTAAAAATAGCTCCAATAATGTAAACACCTGTAGAACACAATGAGACCCAACACAAAGCCCTGCAGCAATGTGAGGCTTATAATGTTCAAATAGGCAGATTTAACTGGATGGTGATTGTTGAAGCTGCAGTTTGTGAAGTTGAATTGGATTGCATCACTATATTTTATAAGATGTTGCTGTTATTGTGTACCCACCCTGTACCTTTTCACTGTGGCAAGGCAGACGTGTTTTTCAGCGGGTCTTTTCAAAGCCATTTCAGCATATGGGCACAAAGAAAAAAAGGTGCTTATCAGCCCAAGAAATGAATCAATTTGCCAGCATGAATCACCACTCGGTTTCCCAAAACAGCTCCAGCATTTGCAGTGGCAGCTGGCCCTTTGTAGCCCGAATCTCCCTCGCTGTGTGCCATCTCACACACATTGCTAAACTCAGAGGGGGCAAGAGTCTGTCTAAATACCGTGCATCGATAAATCCTACAAGATCTTGACCTGGTCTAACAAGGAATGTCTATCAGGACTGCGAACCATTTAAAAAGCGCCATTAACGAGAATTTATTACTCAGTAATAAAATCCAAAGTAATGTTGCTGTTTGTGTTCTATCATTATTGTGTTTATGGGATTATCGTGTGTTGTTGTTGGAGATCATCACAGCCATCAGTTCGGCTGCAGAAAATGACACGATGATGATGGGAAAAACGATGGCAGTGATGATACTGGGGGTAAAAATGGATAACAAATAAGAAGATGCAAGAGGAAGAAAAGTATCTTTTCTGATTTGTTCTCAGCTCAGCAACACCTGGCTCGAACTGCATCTTGTGCATTAATGAGTTTTTGAGAAACTGCTGTAGGGCTTTGGTTTATTAATGTGGAGGAGGGAGCAACACAAAATGTTCCCAATTAAAATGAAGATGAATTGCAGTAGCAGGTCCCCCTGTTGTGGCTCTACTTTTGTCTCTAAATCTCTACCATACAGACAGGTCATTAAGACTAAAGGGTGCTCTGGTCCCGCGGCATCACAGTCTGAACAGATCACATCCCTCCCTGGGAGCTTTGTGTACTGTACACCAGACCCACACAGCTGTGCAGGGAGGAGGAGGACGCTCTGATAGACTGAACTCATCAGGATGACTTAAAGTGGTGGAATTACTTCGCATGCATAATTGAAGTTATTGTGTGTTCAAGATGCTGCAATGTGAAAACTAGTATCAGAAAAGAAAAAAGAAAAAGACCAAAGGAGAAGACTTTTCTGAACGTACAGAGGAGGAAAGAATCTATTGAATCAAACTGAATACAAAAGGTTTGTCATGCAGCTTAATTTCCAAGACGTTTCCTGGAAAGACCTTAGTAATTTGGTATGAATTAGAAGGAAAAGAAAGACGCTGTTCATCTGGTGCACCTAATTATTTCCAATGAATTCCTAGAGAGTCTTTTCATGCCCAGCAGGTCATCTGAGCATGCACATTGGTAAAGTGTGTCTACAAGCAAGCATACAATTCAACATATATGACGATAAACTTTTCAGATAATGAATTAATAATGAATCATTAATGAACATTTTATTTGTTTAATTTAGCTATAATGAAATGTTTCCTATAATAACACGTACATGGTTCTTTCCAGAAATAAGGTTTCCTGTGTGAGGTATTGTTATATACAGAGGTTGCTCATTTTAAAAAGCAAAGTCATGTGGAAGTAAATATTTTATTGCAATTTCTATTTATCTTATTTTTTTAATCCAACATACTTGAAGGAGAAGTTTTTTTTAATAAGGAGCCAGGTGGAAATGGTGAAGCTGTGCACAGTATTGGTGAATAGATTTGGTACATGGACGTAAATAGATAAACAATAAGCCAGCCATTCAGAAACTTGTCATAGAGATATGAGCCACAAAGTGCTTCACAATAAAAATACAAAAGACAAAATATCAAACAGACTTCGTTCCCGCAACACCTAAAATATTCAACCAGTAATAATAATACTAACCATTACTGCATTGAACTTTTCAAAACAATGTTACAAAGTGCTGCATAGATGCACAGAGTTAAAAGGAACCAAAATAAATCACAGGAATAATTTGGACAATACAAAGGGAAAGTGTTTTGATCCACACAAAATGTCCCAAATTAATCAAATGAATCAAAAACAGAATGGAGGACACCGAAACAAAAAGCAGGAAGGCG